TGATACCCTTGATATCCTCCCACAACTCATCTGGCCTTCGTTCATTAGTGTTCAAAGCCTCAAATTTGTTCCTGAGATGATTCTGAAATTCATTGAACCATGCAGTATTTCCTAGCTCTCTTCTGACAACTGCCTCCAGGTTCAAGTGTAGGTTTCACATAATTACAATCAAATGTTCTGGGATTTCCATTCTTTGCAGTGTCAACCACAGTTTGTTGTGACCCACACAATAAAACGCCTTTGCACAGTCAACGAAACACAGATAGACATTCCTCTGGTACTCTCAGCTTTCAGCCAAGATCCACCTAACATTAGCTATAATATCCCTAGTATGATGGCCTTTTCTAAACCCAGCCTGCATTTCTGATAGTTCTCTGTTGATGTGCTGTTCTAGTCATTTTTGGATAATTTTCAGCAGAATCTTGATTGCATGTGATATTAATGATATTGTTCGATAATTTCCACAATCTGTCAGGTCACCTTTCTTTGGAATGGCAACAAATATTATGGATTTCTTCCAGTGAGTTGGCCAGGTGGTTGTCCTCCACATTTCTTGGCACAACTTAGTGAGCAAATCCAGGGCAGCATCTGTTTGTTGAAATATATCAATTGGTATGCCATCAATTCCTGGAGCCTTGTTTTTTGCCAATTCTTTGAGAGCAGCTTGAAATTTTTCCTTCATCACCACAGGCTTTAGCTCATACATTGATTCATTAAATTCTTGTGTCAGCCAATTCCTTCTGGTACAGTGATTCAGTATACTTCCTCCATCTTCTTTTAATGCTTTTTGGATTATTTGATATTCTGCCCAAAGCATCCTTAAGTATTGCAACTCATGGCTTGAATTTGTTTTTCAATTCCTTCAGCTTAAGAAATGCTGAACGAGTTCGGCCTTTTGATTTTTTTTTACTCCAGCTCTTTGCACATTTCATTGTAATACTTTGTTTTGTCTTCCTGCGCTGCCCTTTGAGATCTTCTGTTCAGCTCCTTAATTTCTTTATTTTTTCCCTTGGCTTTGGCGTCTCAGTGCTCTAGTGCAGTATTCAGAGTCTCATCTGACATCCATCTTGGTCTTTTCTTCCTCCTCTTCCTTTGTAATGATCTTTTGCATTCTTCATGGATGATATTCTTTATATCCACTCACAGCTCATTTGGTCTTTTCTCAGTAGTTTTCAAGGCCTCAAACCTATATGAACAATATAGTTGTAAAGAGAGAGTTCGGTTGGCCTGGTGGTAAGGAACTGCACTGCCAACACAAAGTCAGGCAATTCGAATCCACCACCGGCTCCTCAGAAGAAAGATGAGCAATTTTCTCCTGTATAGTTTACAGCCTTTGAATCTTCATCTGTAAGCACTTCCAGTCTTTTCTTTATGCAAGCCTAGTTGTATTGCCTGCATACTGCTGGTTGTTGATGAGTTTTCTTCCATTCCTGATGTCACATTGTCATTCATATAGTCCACCTTCTTGGATCTTGGACTAGTGACTCAATATACAAATTAAATAGGTCTGGTGAAAAGATACAACTTGACACACATTTTACTGATTTGATCCCATGCAGTATTCCCTTGTTCTGTCCAAAGGACTGAGTTTTAGTTCCATGTACAGGTTTTGCATAAACACAGTTGCGTTCTGGAGTTCTCGTTGTTAACAGTGCTGAATGGTGTTGTTTACAACATTATTAGGGAATGAGTGGAAGTCTTTATTTCTCTCTTTCTCCTTTTTATTTTGTTCAGGAGCCCTAGGAAGATCTTCAACGAGATGGATTGACTGTGATTGCAGCAATGAGCTCAAGTGTGTCAGAGATGTTGAGGATGGCACAGGATAGGACAGATCTATTGTTCATAGTGTTGCTGTGA